CGGCAAGATTTTTAGTTTACCATGCTGATCAGATACAAATGAAATCGGAGATATATATATATATTGTAGTGGCCGGTATCATGGCAAGCCCGTTTAGGTTACTCTAGCTTCTAAATAGACCAATTTATTCATTCTTACCAAGCTAGCTACATTTTGACATTATCACTTATTTGTTCAATAACCATGTTCGTTTTTATGTGTTCATTACTTGCCCTATTCATTATGTAACTGTAACGTATTTTATTTGACTATGAATATCGATTCACTCTTGGTTAAATGGAGTTGGCTCACTCCTTCTTTCCAGTCCATCGACACTTGTTCCTCTTTTCAAATCTTCTTGAATAGAACGGTAATCATTTTTGCCGTTACTTCTAGGTCTGACTTTAGTGCTTCAGCCGTTATATTGTCAGGTCCTGTTGCTGCCCCAAACCTAATTTGTCTGATGAACATGTTGATTTCTTCAATCGTAGGTAGAGTGGCAGCTATAGAAAGGTTTGTGTGTGTTGCCTCTATAGCCGGTGGATTCAACGAAACTCGTCTATTCAAGAGTTCCTCGAAGTATTCTACCTATATGTTCTATTGTTCTTGAGTCTCAGTGATTGCCTTGCCTTCTTTGTCCTTGACCGGTCTCTCTGGTTTACCATATTTCCTTTCGCGTTTCTTCGTTAAGATATATAGTTGTTTCGTATTTCCTCCTGTTGCAGCTTTTTCCACTGTTACTGCTAGCTCTTCCACGTATTTCTCCCTATAGACTTCAATGCTCCTCTTCATTTGGTTGTTTGCTTCTGTGTATTCATCTTATACCTTGACTTTTTATGCTCTTGTTAGAGTGTTGTTAACTGCGGTAGTCTTTTTCTTTCTTTTTTGAATGATGTCTAGTGTTGTATATTACCCTATTTCTCCAACGGCAAATTTTGCTATGAGCTAAACTGTAAATGTGAATCAATCATTTCAAAATGGGCTATTCGGCTTATTTGTCCACTTTTACTGAGTGCAGAACAATAGGTGAAGATTGGAAGGAAGAAGACAGAACTAGCAATAAATACGTGTTTAGTGTCTTTTGGTATTTAATAAAGTTACTTTTTACATTGGAATGTAATAAAATGATGGTCACTTAGTTTCCGTACATATTCTAATAATCAGTCAGTTTTTGTCCATTTCTATATCTTTAAATTGTGAGAGTAAAATGCTACAAACTGAAATTTACGTTTTACAGTGATTAGTCTCTTTTCCCATCTCGAAATTTATTATAAACATTTATGTAATTTATATTGTATCACTACCTATCAGATAGAAAACATGGAGCCCCTCTGGGTCTCCGGCTGGCCCCAAGCTGGGATAAATGCGAAAAGGGGTTGGGCATAGGGTTAGTGACCCCGCCCCGTAGAAAACTAACCCGCTTTAGTGGCCCGTGAATCTGACTCCTATTTAGAGCTTACGAATGTTTGCTATCGCTGATTCTCGTATATCATCGTCGACTTAAATCACGTTAGTCAATAACGGAATTTAGATAAGTCAAATAACGAGAATAGGATTTTGAATACATATATTTTGTATGTAAAGTGAATGTAATAGAACAGAGCAAAATGACACGCAGGGAAGATGGCTGGGAAGCCAACTCCATTTTAGTCAAGCGTTACTCAATATTTATAGTCAGACAAAATAAAGCTACAGACATGTGATTAATAGGATAAGAAGGGCACACACATATACGCTCATATAAAAGCAGTCTAGATTGATAAGCGAATAAATAACAAGGTCAAAGTATGGCTCGAGGAGAATGAATAAAATGGGATGTCCGGAAGCTAGAATAAGGTATATGGGCTTGGCATAATAACTGACACTACACCGCTAAAAAAAGAACGCTAACCAGAAAATCTATCAAATAAGCAATAAGCTTGATGAGATCCTTTTTCATGTTTTGTCGGCTAGGTTCTACTTTTTAATCTCGGACGATAAAAGAAACCAAGAATACAAACCAAGCTTTTCACTTAAGATCAATCTATATTTAAGGGAAGAAAGTATTTATTGAATTACCAGGGTCTTTATTACTTCAGATATCCCCAGAAGAGATATTTGTGCCATCATATGCAATGAAATTTACAGGAAGATATACTCTTCTTCTGATTATTTTGGTGTTGATATTCTAGGATGTTCCTTGAAGAACTGTCTAAAAATAATCTTATCATATAACCGATTTCCAGAAAATCTTCTTACTTCTTACCCTCTGTGTATTTAGTAAATCGCATATATTTCCTGTAGTATTCTATCTTTATATGAAATCTTTATTTTATATATTACCACCACTGAATTAACTACTTCTATGAACCCAGTGTTCATCTTTCTATGCTAATGAGGTATAGCAACTTGAACCGATGCATATATATATGCCTGTTCCTTTATTGTAGCTAACTGACTGAGTATTCTGCTTATTTTTAGCTAACTTATCATAATAGTTATTATCATTCCAACAAATTTATTTGTAATATAAAAAGAAAAACGTACATTTACATTCATATTTCATATACGATCAATCTACAATGTCAATATAATGCCCATTTCGAATGTTTATCTTATTCAGTGAATAAACTGACAATACATCGATAATCGATAAACAGTTTTATAGGATACACGATAAAGATGTCTATTCATTAGTTTAACTCTTTAATTCACTCTCTTTTTGAAATGTATTCTTGACAGTTGGCAACTTTTAGTATAACCACACAATTTATTATTATTATTATTCGTTACCGTTGGGGGGGGGAGGGGGAATAGGTATACATGCATGTATACACATGTATATAAATATAATACTTGAATGTACTAGTTACTTGTCATAATTATTGATTATATATTTAAATAACCTACTTTCTTTAAGTAGTCTATGATCAATGTGACTAAAAGTAATATGTTAGCAATGTTTTAAATGAATGATGTAATCTAGAAGAATCATACTTATAATGAAGAAGAAGATATCATTACATTACAATTTGGAGCCTGTTATATACACTATAGTATATTCAATGATAATAGTATGAGAGAAAACAAAAAAATTTTCGTTTTAAACTGACCAAAATATCAGGAATTATTCTTAGTTAGAACACCATTGGAAATTTTAAATCATTGAGATGGTGGAGAAGATTTGTAGCTCAAGTGGATGATTTTGACGGAGTTTTGTTTTCTGAGCTGGATGGTTTGGTCGTGGAGCTTTCATCGTTCTTCTGAACGACATCATCAGCACAAACTTCAGATGGAAGTGAAGTGTTCGAATTTCTCCATATGTGTTTCACAGCTTGTTCTGCACACCTTGACGTTGATTGGTTCTTATTGATCTTAAATTTGTCATTGTTTTCTTCGAACACTTCAGTTCTATTTGAAGTTTGTGCTGATGATATCGTTCAGAAGAACGATGAAAGCTCCACGACCAAACCATCCAGCTCAGAGAACAAAACTCCATCAATTGAAATCATTGGATGACCGTTTCATTTTAGTATGAAACTCTTGACAACCCGGTATTTGGGGACAGAGCCTGAACACTTTTGATTTGGTTGGCATGTGGACGCTTAATATCTAGAACTATGAATCAGCATCCAATCATTCAATTTTGTTAAGTTTTTAATTGTGTACTAATTAAGACTAACTTGATGTTTAAAATTTATGTAAATTTCATTATCTCTACAAAATTCTATGCTGATCAAGAAACGTTTCAAGATGAATTGACAAGTAATACGGTGCATGTCTTACAATGTGTTGTAAGCTTTAAAGTGTTAGACTTGTCAATTAAGATAGTAATCGTTCATGATAAGCTAGTTTCCAGTGTTCTTTGAACAGGTAGAAATCTGTTATCATAAGTATATTCATACTGATTCAATTCATATAGTTTACTTTATGAACGTGAAAAGTATTGAACATTTTGTAATGGTTAATTCTCTGATCAAATAGATAATAATGATAATTATTCAATTCATTTATTAAGTACAGATTATTTTAGTCGACTTTGAACCATACTTTAGGTTTGAAGGTTAGTAATATTGTAATGATTCATAAACTGATGAAAATGAAATAATAGAAAAGCCCTAAAATTTACTGATTAAAATCTGAGTCCTTTCATTCTTTTCTGGTAAGCGTTTTTTTTAGCCATTTAGTTTTCTACGGGATGGGGACGCTAACCTCATGCCCAACCCTCCTCCTTTACCCGGGCTCGGGACCGGCAGTAACTCTGGAAGAGCTACAGGCGGAGTTGAGTCCTTTCATTACTGAGCTCCACTACATATATATATGACATACTATTATATTCTTACTTTAGAGCTAAGAAGAAATTTTCAAGGTTTGTGAGGAAATCTCCTCTACATTATGAAGACGTTTGGCTATTTATCTTTCACGTAGGGTATGATACATTTGTAATTTTTCTCAAAATAACACACTGCTAGTTATGACTGAAATATTGTGGAAAGTATATCAGTATATATATATATATACCTTCTTGTTTACAAGCATTTATGTTTAAAACATATTTCAAGTATAGCTTTTATTTACTTTACTTACTTACGCCTATTACTTCCAATGGAGCATAGGCATTCTCCAACCCGCTCTTTCCTGAGCCTTCTTTTCTAGTTCTATCCAATTGTTGTTCATTTTGTTCATATCTGTCTTTATTTCTCGGTTTAATGTGTTCATTGGTCTTTCTCTTCTCCTTTTGGCTATGAGGATTCCACTCCGACTAGAGGCTATGGTTACTGCCGATTCTAAGCTCGATTAAAAGAGGAGAGTTGGGCATGGGGTTAACAATCCCATCCTGTAGAAAACAACCTTGCCATAAATAGAACACTAACCAGAAAAAAGTAATTCAAACCAGCTTTTATTTAACTTATAACTAATACAATCATAAGGGAATATCTCATTGAATACATGAATTCTCATTATAATTATAGTAAAGCATTTTATTTATCATGAACATTTATCTATTTATACATGAATTCTTTTATGGTTTTTTTTTTCAGATTGTATTAATATTTTCACAGGCTGATAAACAAACTCAATTAATGGTTGATGCAGCTCAACAATTAAAACATAATTGTACATTGATCAATACAATTAAACAGGGTACAACAACAAAGGATATAGATAAGATTATTAATGAAAAGCTTATTGATGTACAACAGGTTAGTACTTCTCTCTCTCTCTCTCTCTAGCGATATTACTGTATTTATTGGCATATACAAGTGTTCATTCTAGATGGTGGTTGGAGGTAGTCGACAGGAAACCCTGGACACAGGTTTCGTGTTACCTGGCACTCCTCGGCAAGGTGTACCTGTAATCTTGAAGGAACTGGTGCTCCCTGACGGATTCGATCCCGTATCACCCAGCTTCACAGTCAGAGACGTGACCACTGAGCTATCCAGGCCGCGACTGACCTCCTGTGGGACTAAGATGTAATCACAATTGATTGATCACTGGGTGATGATCAATGTCATGCGTATCAAGTCCTTATTTAGTGCAGATCAAATGCATGACAAGTGTTCATTCTATTTCTTTATTCATTTATTATTATATTACTTACGTTGAATGTAAGATCTCTGGTTTAAACTTCATCTAACAGAGATACTGTTTAATTACAAAACATAATAAATAAGATTTGTTATGAAATGATAAAAGAACACCTATTTGGAATTCAACTGGATCTGTTGTGAAATAGTAATTCACTGAATTCACTGATGGTGGATGTGTTGTTCAGTCTCGTGGATTAGTTGAAATTAGACATTAACACCATTGGACGCCAGTTTAGTGGTTTAGAGTTAAAGCTTTCGCGCGTGAAACCGATAGGTCCTGGGTTCGAATCTCGAGAAGTGGAATCGTGGATGTGCACTACTGAGGAGTCCCACAATAGGAAAAAACTGCCGTTCAGTGATTCGAGGTTTTCTATTGTGGTTTAGCTCCAATTGACTCATAATCTCAACTATTGAAATTACTATAATATCTACAAAAACCCCTTCCAATAAATATTTGTTTAACTTTATAAAATAATGAAGTCATTTCTTACAAAATATTACTAAACACATTCATCTATAATGAAGCAGACATGGTTATACCGAGAAATCAATTTAGAATAATATACATTACATATGTTATGAACTACTAATTACTAGGACTAGAATTAAAGTTCATTTAACTAAGTCTATTTGACAAATGGTCAGTTGTAAACTGAATAACTTATTGAGAATGTACCCAGCCATGATAATTGGTTACGTGGATTCAAATCTCGCGACTAGTAACGGTTCCTTAAAGATTTCATGCAGTTACTAACGATAGGTTTATATAAAATATAATGTGAAATGAGATAATGGAGTAACTTCTAATTTGTCATAGGAAGTTTGTCATTCACATCAAACTATTCACGCAAAACTACATGGCGGACTTTAGAAATATTAACATTTTGAATGCATCTATTAGCAGTCAACTCAATATAGTGTTTATGATCGAACGAAATTCTGACTCAATGAAAGTCCTTGAAAGATGAGCGACCTAAATTTAATTATTAAAAGTTAGTAATAGTTACTACTGCTTCTACCTGGCTAACCTTTGGTTTCACCATGAAAAATGTCCCATCGACAATTATCAATTGATTACTAACGACCAACTAATAAAGACAATTTCCAGAGTTCTAGAGAGAAACCATAATCATTGAAGTCCGAACTTGTCACGAGTCAGACAGTTATCTACAATACCCAATAGAACACGGTCTCACATTATCGCAATTTATTTGAAATGAGATGTCAATACTGTCGAATGTCGGTTCAGTGATCTAAAGATTAATCGCTCGTGCGTGATACCGAATATGATGTATTCTATTTCCAGATATAAGGTTGTAGATGGATACTGGTGTACGTCTGAGGAACCCTATACTAGGACGAGACCACTGTATAATACCTTTAGGTTTCCATTGATTATCGAACTAAGATCAATTTGTCTCTTTAATCAAATGTATACTTAGTTTAGTCGTCATGTAACAAATAAATTCTTCTGTATCATCATTGTTGTTTTTATCATTTATTTGAATTAAATGATTTACTTTGTAAAACCCATTTCTGATAAACATGGATGAAATTTATTATGATTTCAGTGAATAAAATCAATAATGTTTTACAGGATTAATAGTGTTTAAGTAATGAGGACATTACTAACCAAGTTCATTTAAGGTCAACCTTAGATTTTTGTTAAAATATCCTTTGAAGTGAAGCACAAAGAGTGGGGGTGACCGGGGGGTGGAGTGAATAAACAAACTTTCAAAAACTGAAACCTTAGCTGAAAATTGGTGATAGATAATTGAAATATTGATTACCTTGATGGTTTGATCATTTCTTCACATGACCTGTAGCTTAGATTGAAAAGAAAAAATATATTTAGATTTTTTTTTTCTTAAGATCATATGTTCTAGCATTATTTTAATTGTTCTGCGTAGATACGTCAGCAATACATGTCTAGAGTTTCAATTCCTTTGTACTTTATATGGATGTATTTATGTTTCTGATATGTTGGTGATTAAATTTCTCCCGATCAAATCTTGTTATTCGTTTGTGGGAATACATTTTTTTTTGCATACAGACACTATAATTAGATATACACTAATTAAAGTAGAAAAGTACATCAAATATAATGAAAAGACCTGATTAATACAACTCATATTCATTGTAATCGGTGCAAGATATTGGTCATAGGCTGGTTGACTTACTATTAATATTTTTGACGTGGTTACTAATCTTTATACACTGACAAAATTACATTTTTTTAAAAATATAGATATATTGTTGATAGATCATAAAGAAACACAATATTCTTACTTTACTTACGCCTGTTCCTCATAATGGAGCATAGGCCGCCGAACAACATTCTCCAACTCACTCTGTCCTGGGCTTTCCTTTCTAGTTCTATCCAATTTTCGTTCATTTTCCTGATGTCTGTCTTCATTTATCAGCGTAGCGTGTTCATCGGTCTTTCACTTTTCCTTTGACGTTGAGGATTCCAATTGAGGGCTTGCCTAGTGACGCAGTTCGGTGCTCCCCTCAATGTGTGTCCTATACACTTCCAGAACTTTTTCTTGATTTCTTCTTACACTGGAATCTGGTTTGTTCTCTCCGATAGTAGGTTGTTGCTGATAATGTCTGACCAACGGATCCGAAGTATTTTGCGTGGACAACTGTTAATAAACACTTGTATCTTCTGGATGATGGCTTTCGTAGTTGTCCAGGTTTCCATCCCATACAGTAGAACTGTCTTGACATAGGTATTGGAAATTCTGACTTTGATGTTGGTTTACAGACAGTTATTTTGAGTTCCAGATATTCTTCAGTTTTAAATATGCTGCTCTTGCTTTGCCAATCCGCGCCTTCACATCTTCATGAGATCCATCATATTCATCAATGATGCTACCTGGATATGTGAAGGTTTTTACCTTCTCCAAATCTTCTCCATCAAGTGTGATTCGATTGATGCATGTTGTGTTGTATCTGAGAATCTTGCTTCTCCGTTTGTGTATGCTGAGACCTACTGCTGTTGAGGCTGCTGCTACACTGGTTGTTTTCTACTGCATTTGTTGTTGCGTGTGTGATAGAGGAGCCACAATATTCAGTTTCAGAATATTTTTCCATGAAGAATATAATTTGACAGAGTTTACCTTGAATTTCATTGCATCCTTTTTATCTGATTATCTTACCTTGAGAAACCTGGATAACCACTTATACCAATCTTTAGTATAAAATATCCTTTGTGAACTTAAAACCATACAATATTGCTGGTTATTGCTACTCAAGGACTGATTATTGTAGGAATAGATTTCTCTCAGAACATAGAACATCGAACCACACTATTTGAAGAGTTATTGAAGAAACGAAATGCTACTTATTTCATAATCAATGTAATTATACTTTACTAATTTTTTGGTGTTAAAATAAAAGATTCAATGAAATTTCTTGCTGATATCAAATGTTTTGGCATACTTTTCTATTCATTGTTTTCTTTATGATCCACGTAGATTATTGATATGGTTGTACTGGATATTCGTAAGCTGAAGCCGAACCGGTCTTTTAGTATGTCCGGTACCAAATCATCACAATCCCCAGAAATTAATATCAGTAATAATAACATTAGTTCATCATTGAGCAACTGGTGTAAACAACTTAGAAGTTATTCACCGACAAAAGATTCAGTTATTGTAGGATTATTGAGTCGGAAATGGTGAGTTATTATTTGCTTATAATATCTATACGTAGGTAAACTATCGTGTTTTACTGTATTATACTAATGATATGAAGAATTCTAAGAAATAGGTGGCTAAATCCTATACAGTCAAAAAGAGTAAACGTAACCTAGGAAATAATTTGAAAATGTTTTATGACATTACTTGTTTAGAAAAACACTTTAAATATGTGTTAGTGTAAATCTGCTCAAAATCGAACCTGTAATTGTCAAGATTAAAGATAATTCAAAATATTCCTCGTGATAGACACTGGTAACTCGTGACCATATGATTATTACATAGGATTTGCAAAAACTTCATAATCTTCACAAAGTCATGTATCGATTCTTGTAACTTCTTATCATTCTGTCACATCGAAAACTACTAGTGTTGTAGCTTCGAAAATAAATACATTTTTATGTAAAGCTTAATACATTATTGGATGTTTCTTCAAGCACTGCATATCTCAATACTTTATGTTCGCTTGTATAGATCTAGACTGGAAGTAAGCTAGAGCCAACTAATCCAAAACGTGAAGTCTGTCCATAAAGTGAATGACTATTGGATTGGTCCATGTTATTAAGTGTAGACTACCTGATTGTGATCGGCGTGATCATCATGATCAATTTTTTGAAACATTGGGTGATATTTATCACAATCGATCTCAATGATGTAGGCACATTAACTCCTATTTCCATAGACTTTCAGTCTAAAAAGTAATCTAATCCTTTTTATCCCATGATTACGTTCTTTCATCTCGAATAATATTTTTTATGCTTATTATTTTATGGTACATTTTTATTACTTCCATAATCGTGACATTTGTCTTGATAATTTCATCTCTCTCTGTGCTGATATAATGTGACAACTTGTAACAATGCATAAATATATTAGGTTATATGTTGTTTATGTCTGTTTGATATTGGATGTTTAAAGGCTATGCTAATAACATGCTGACAAGAGGTGGAAAAAGGAATTAAAGGATAACTATCATTCCTTGATAATAACAAAAATCAGTGTTAACTCAAGACGTTGGAAAACACAGATCTTAGTAATCAGTTTATACGTTATCTTTAACTTTAGTCGGTTTGTAGAAGACACAAACCTCATCAACAAATGTCATTACTGAGTTATTACCTCAATCACGACTTGGTTTATTCCATCGGTCATAAGCTTCTCACTAGGACTATAAGTTAATCAACGTTAAACTTAACACTCTTCATCTTATGTCTGGTATTTAGTTGATAATGTAAGTATCATAATTATATCTCAAAACATTTTATACTAATTAAACATAAGATTAGATGAAAAAAAAAACATTCAATGTAGTTCTCTTATAGAAGAAAGATAAAAGAGTCCGCTTTTGTAAAATGTAAAACAATAAGAAACACTTCCTGTATAAATAATCAAAGTCTGTCAAACACAACTATAAATTGACTAACATGGAATAAATACAAATATAATATACAGCATCCCAGGTAATAGATATTGAAATACATTAATTCCATGTCAATACAAGATGTGATCAATGTTATTATAATGTTAATCAGTTGGTCAATCGCTGTTAAATCGCTATATACTCTCAAAAGTTCTATAATCACTTAAGTGCTCTGATTTACTAACTGGTCTCTGTAATTAGTAAGTAAACTATTTAATGGATGATAAGATATAATCAAAAATAATTGAATGTTATTCCTTAAAAACATGAACAAAGTCAACCAGTTGTTAGATCAGAAGGGGTTTTGTAGATATTATAGTAATTTTAATAGATGAGATCATGAGTCAATTGAAGCTAGACCACCATGGAGATAGGCCATAAAGCTAGACCACCACTAGGGAAAGCTTACTAGACACACATACAGAAGTTTAATCTATTAATGAATCTAATAATAGTCCTCGTACATAGTACAAATAACCGTCTTTATAGCTCAATTCGGTGTAGAATTCATTGACACACGGTAATTAGTGATACTATGTTGAATTATTTTTATCGATAAATGTCGATTAGAAATCCAGTTCTCGGTAATTTAACACAATGTACGAATATAATGTGTATGCTTATGTGTCTGGCACTATGTCAAGTACACATAGGCTACTCTAGCTTCTGGATAGACCAATTTATTCATTCTTACCAAGCTAGCTACATTTTGACATTGTCACTTATTTGTTTGTTATCCATGTCCGCGTTTCTATGTGTTCATTTATGTGTTCATTACTTACCCTATTCATTATATATCTGTAACTTATTTTTATTTAACTATAAATATCGATTCACTCTTGGTTAAATGGAGTTGACCCACTCGTCTTGTACACTGTGCATCGTTTCATTTCATTTCACTTCCTTCACTGTGTTTCACTGATTTCCTATCTAGATCAACGATTGTGTGAAAGATATTCACTACCTCGATTTAAGTCGATGATTATATACGAGGGTTGAAGGCATGTATATTTCGATGATAATCATAATACAATATAATTGGAGTCAGATACCAGTCCACTAAAAGTGATGAGTCTGTCAATAACATCACTGTCCTATCTAATTGGCGTCAAAATGAAGAGCCACCTAAACGCTTGTCTATTGGTGTCATTATTATTCTTTCTTATCAACAGAATTTGAATGTAGTGAGGTGTGGTCAAGGAGAAATGTGTTGTTGATTATAGATTTAAAGTTATCCATCAATTGCTTGTTCATATTCTACGATAATTAAAAGTGACTACAATTGGCTTCTATTTACTATCTTTTCACTGTGAACAATATTGGCTCTCACCCTCTCTTACTTGAGGAATAAACTTTTGCAACGTTCTAGATACCTTTAAGTGAATTTAATCACTTGATATTATGAGTTGCTCCTAATTTGCTCTAATACTCTTGTATGTGAGAGGTGGACCTTTGTTACCTTCAGTCGTACGCCATCTCAGTTTTGTACATATTGACTCTTTTGGGTTCACAGTTTTAATGCTTATACTTGACAATCGTTAACTACTTCAATTACTTCATCCTACTGCTTATACTTTAAAAAGCGGAACTACTGGAATTCCTACAACACAAAGTAAGAATATGAATGTCTAATGTAACGAAGATATGTTGGCTCTCCATAACATGTTTTCAAACATGTCCTAAAATCACGTTCCAAATCACATTGATCATGACAACAAAACAGAATCATTTATCTACTAAATTTTACATACATTATACATTAACACATATAAGTGGAAATACAAAGTTGCTGTTCAAAATATACAATGAATATAGTTCATCTGAATAGATACAATAAATATAATTGTCATACTTAACAAAAATCACACATCATATTAAAAGAATTTGAAACTGAATCAATACAAAATGTAGTGGTGTTTTTTTACTCCTGTCCTATTGAATACACATCACAACGGCCAGTATTCTTCGCATTCTGTTGTCAAGGGTAACAAATTTGATTATAGCAGTTAGAGATTCAACATCTATTCCTCAAAACAAACAAACAAACAAACAAGACTATTATTATCAGATTAGTTGAAGTTAGACATTAGCACCGTTAGATGCCGACCGGCTCAGTGGTCTAGTTGGTTAAGCACCCGCGTGCGAGACTGATAGATCCTGGGTTTGAATCTCGCGAGGTGCGGGATCGTGGATGCGCACTGCTGAGGATTCCCATAGTAGGGCGGAATGGTCGTCCAGTGCTTCCAGGTTTTCCATGGTGGTCTAGCTTCAATTGACTCGTGATTTCAACCAGCGAAACAAGACTATACCTTGAGATTGTAAGTAAATCAGCCTAGTAATTATCAACATGCATTGCATAATAGATATTTCTAGCCAAATGACTGCTTAAAAGCTTAAATATTATGAGAAACTGAAAGATATTTGAATGACTGTAGTCCTAATATAACTAAACACGTTTATTTAGTGTACTAACATTATATTCGATATTTGGATATATTATTATTCTTCCCACTTATTACATTCAATTTTACAGCTCTTCTGATCAAAGAAAAATACTCATGAATAAAGCTCTAAAATCTGGTTGTAATAAGGTAAGTAAGCAACATATTTTGTTTTCACTGGTTGAAATCATGAATCAATTGAAGCTAGACCACCATGGAAAACCTGGAAGCACTGGACGACCATTTCGCCCTACTATGGGAATCCTCAGCAGTGCGCATCCACGATCCCGCACCTCGCGAGATTCAAACCCAGGATCTATCAGTCTCGCACGCGGGTGCTTAACCAACTAGACCACTGAGCCGGTCGGCATCTAACGGTGCTAATGTCTAACTTCAACCAATCCACGAAGTTGCGCCACCGTACACCATTGTCTTCAGTGAGTTGATATCTCACAACAGACCTGGTTGAACTCCACTGGTAACGGCTTCTCACTAGAACTCCAGGAGTATCTCTTGAAGTCAGTCACCATTGAGCAGATGATTATTATCAAAAGGGGTTTTGTGAAGATTTTAGAAATTTCACTGGTTTTCTTGTTTAACTTTCACCATGTTCTATATCTTCAACTCTCTTCGAAGAAAAATAATGTGTAAACATCCTTTCATAAAACGTTTTATTCAGTTTTGTGTTTAGTAATTGAAAAGAGAGTTATACTTAAGTTTGTAATTGTCCAAGTGGTATATTCGAACGAAGTGTTAGATTTACCCCAACAACTTACAGCTTATTATTCAATACACTGGAAGTGAATGTCTGCGAATTATCATCCTTGATTATGTTTCTCTATTCTTTTCAGTAGTCTTACATTCATATGAAATATGAGAAAACTAAATTTCATCATTCTCAATTCACTTGGTCTTGTTTGTTTGAATCTACCCATTGAAGTTTAAGGCTGCAATTGATCAGTCTGTTATTGGCATATGTACATACTGTGCGTATTCCCTCGATATTGCTTTAATTCACAAGCATTATAGTCAAAGATGGATAATGGCTAGCAGTGGAATTCAGATAAGACGAAACGCGCATCCTGGATTCCACTGCTAGCCACTATCCATCTTTTCTTATCAAATTTATTATTCTCAGTTTGTCATAATTATAATATATTTATAATGCACTGATGTGTAAAAGATTAAATGTTGGATGATTCTTGATTAAGTATAAATTGTTAATTCAGAGAACATGTAGGGTTGTGGAGATTGTTCAGGTGAAATTGACATTATTAATGGATCAATAATCTCCACAACCCTATACTGATAATTATCATGCGCTCACTAGTAGACTAACTTCAAGATTGATTTCCTGGAATTCTAGTGAGAATCTGTGACCTGTAGATTTCAACCGTGTTTGTTGTAGAGGCAGTTACTCACTGAATACAATGGAGTACGATCGTGTAATATCCCAGTTTGGTTGGAGTTTGACATTAACACCATTCGATGCCAGCTCAATGGTTTGGAAGTTAAGTGTTTACACACACCAGACCGATTGTATTGAATTCAAGTCCTACATGTGAAATCGTAGATGCGCACTTCTGAGATGTTACATATTAAGACGAAACAGCTGTCCAGTGCTTCCATGGTTTTCAATAGTGATCTCACATTGATCCATTTATAATATCAATCGAAACTCAATCAATAATTGAATCATTCATATGAACTATGCGCTAAGTTTATATCAAATTACCAATTTAAATCACAATATGATTCTCCATTTTAACTACAATCAATTAATGATAAATAATCAATAAATTTGATTGTCGTTTAAAAATTAAATTACAAAATTCAATAATGATTTAATTATTGATCAAAATTTAGTCAGATCTTATGTCTATATGAGTATATCAGAATCGATCTGGCAGATTATTGATTTATTATTATTAAAAAAAATCAATATTTTTTCAATAAAAATCATTATTGATATGATTTGATTATTAATCATTATTATTATTATTATCAGCTTTATTCAATATTATATTTTTGGTACAATATTAGAATTCTCAGCACAAAGTATTTCAACAAGTTTCCGTTTCTTTCTTCTTGGTCGGTCCTGGCGATAAATATTGAGTGATCGCCAGTTAGATGTTAGCAGTTCAGTAAATGAACATCTGAATAATGTACATTCTTTTCGTTGTATATTGCCAGCAACCACATTGTCTCTTATTGAGTTTTTTGTAACTTTGATAAAGAAAGGTTGTACACTTTTGAGAAACGCAGCAGAATAGGTTATGCGATTAATAAACATAGTGATATATTAAAACAAACAAGAAAACAAATAACTTGTTGAAATATCTAGATGGCAGGAACAGGTAGCTCAGATGCTCAAGCAGGCCGCCTTAATTAAATAATTTAATTTTCAGGATTTTTTTCAATGTTAAAGATGTTTAATTGAATAGTAATATTACAGTAATATGTACTAAATATGTTGATGGAGTTTTGTTCTCTGAGCTTGATGGTTTGGTCGTGAAGGTTTCATCGTTCTTCTTCTGGACGACATCATCAGCACAAACTTCAAATAGAAGTGAAGTGTTCAAATTTCTCCATGTGCATTTCACAGCTTTTTCTGTACACCTCGACGTTAAGTTGGTTCTTATTGAACTTAAATTTGTGCTGATGATGTCGTTCAGAAGAACGATGAAAGCTCTACAACCAAACCATCCAGCTCGGAGAACAAAACTCCATCAAAATCATCCACTTGAGCTACAAATCTTCTCCACCGTACTAAATATGTTTAACCATATAATCGTTAAAACTGATGCATAACACTATCAGCATGTTTTCTTAACTAGAACAATATTGAAAAACAGAGATTAATAAATAATGTTACTGACTGTTATGATAATATCTGGAATGAGAGTGTGTATGTATTGAATATAGAACATTCAGACTTTAAAAAGAGCTGGCTGTTATTAAGCTTATGAACTGATAACTAATTGTTTAAAGTTCTACTTGTTATACTGTAAAACGTATATGTATTGTTATCAGTGAATAACGGCTTTAATCAAGATACTGTTGAGCTGTATAAATGTAATGAACAAAAACTTATTGAGAGTTAACTAATTTATTTCATTATGCAAAATCATGCACTAAATTTGTAATTTATTAAAACAGTACAGTTTCAGTATGGAAAGGACAGGAGGCTAGGTGGCCTGTGTTGATCCTAACAATCGTGGTCTCTCAGTTGATGAAACTTTCTTTTGATAGCATCCATAGATGGAGTTTCAGCAACTTGTTGAAGTAATGAGTCCCACTCATTATTGAATCGATGGGAAAATCGATCATCAGCTGACAAGTAATTTGTTCTGAGCTTGTAAAGTTTTTGTGAGTGTTCTCGTAAATTCTCTGTTCTGCAAAACATGAAACGTGAAGGCATATCAGATGCAAATTTATCAATAAGTAATCTAAAGTCGGTTCTCCTATATGACATTGAAAATGGGTTTAGTTTAGCCAGTCGAGCATCATGTGGTAGCTTTTTCTAAATCGAGAATCGACTTATCTATGGTTCTTTGAACCTTTCCCAACAGCTCATTGTCTCCTTTTACGCAGGGGTTCTAAAAACTTTGGCGGCTACGGCACGCCCGTGTGCAGTAGATTTAAAATCTCGGTTAATGATGACTCCCTAGTCGTCTTGTGTCTGCACACCAGGTAGCACACTGTTATTCAAAGTGTATGTATATGTACCTTGGTGACTAATATGCATCACAATTCACATATAATCTTTTATCGCCAACTGCCAAATTGTAAAACATTCATATAATTTCTCCAGGTCATTTTGAAGTTCTAATATATCACCTTTAATTCTTATTGCTCTCCATATCTTGACATCGTAAGCAAATAACAAAACCGATGGTGATAGGAGACTAGAAGGGTCTTTTACAAACAGGAGGAACAACATCCTTCCGAATAGTCCTTTCCAATATTTTAACAACTATTCTGGTTAAACTTACGGGTCGATATTTCTCAGGCTTATGTCTCGTATCTGTTTTGAAGATAGGACTTACTATGTCATTCTTCCACTCTTTTTGTAACGACTCCGGGTTACAAATAGATTGAAACATATGCTTAAGGTATTCACTACAAAATTTTCTAATTATTTTAATAACCTAGGATGCATTTCATCGGGCTCCACGGATTTGTCTGTACCAAACTCATTTATTAGGTCGAAAACTTCGAATTATTTAGTGGTTACAGTGTCTAGTGTGTATGAACTGAAGTTGAAGGCATCTCTACGGTAAATACATTGCTAAAGTAGTTCGAGAATACCTGATCTTTACCATAATGCTACTGTTACCCTTAAATGTTGGAAGATTTCTTCTTCTATTAGTCTTTTGGTTTGTGCACGAATATAAGCGTTTATGGAGCTCCATAGATGCCCTAACAAATTTTTGTTTTACATACTTCTACACTTCCAAAGGATCAAGGCACAAATATTTAGAGGTTCTGGATATTGAGATTTTGTTTCGTTCCCTTTCACATTCTTCTCCTCTTACGGAGAAGGGTGTGAAAATTGCCGAATTTTGTAATGAGTAAAACTGAAAGTCAACACAATGAGTTCCAACGTGTATTTATGAAAAACGGAGTTCAACCGTGTTGGATGTGAGACAGGTATCAAATAGATAATGATCATGTACTTTACGAACTTGAATTTAAAAACTTAAATCGTTGGATGATAACTGAGTAGCCTATAAATTAAGCTTTCTTTATTTAATGTCGAATTTGTTAGTAGTTTAAGAATAATCCTCCACAAAAAAGCAAATGAATTTTGCTTTACACGTACACAGAAATCGTTAGTACTTTGATTATCTAATGAATATGACGTAATAGTTCACTGACATAGTTCAGCTAATAATACTATTCCGGGATGAACTTGAACCGTCTGTTTTCCTACCTATAAACAATGCTAAGGAGTTTGATATTAAGTAGAAACAATTGTACATTGCTCCAATTTTTTTAATGATTTCTATACTCATGTCAGTCAACCACAAAAATCATCCATGGTTTATGATACCATTGTCTAAACAACATAGTTTATGATGTCTGAAGTGTGACTGTTAAATGTCTGGTTATCAAACTAAATGTTCTCACAGTAAGTGCCCAATTCA